TTCAGACCTGTTTGTTCAAGCAAGAAACATCTTCTATATAAGCGACAGAATAAAGACCTAATATATAACTGAATGACATCTCAGGGTCAGTACAAAAATGTGCACGTCTCACTCTGACTCAAAAAGACTTACCCAAGGCTATACACAGCTTGGTGGAGCATGTCAATCCTTGTCCACACTCATCCTTCACTGGGTTGAAGCACTCATTGAGCACGCCGAGCACCACCGCAAGCTTCATGTTGCATTCCTTGAGAGCTGGCCGATTCCTCTTTCTGAATCCTCTAGAGCGCCCACGAGAAACTATCCTCGGTAGGGTTCATTACGCCTGTCACTTCTGATAGCTGAGCAGAGAGCTGAAACATGCATCCAAACAAAAAAAAGGCACCATGTTCAGTTTATATAACACGAGAAGGAGAAACTCTAGATTACAGATCAAATAACAGTTAAACTCCACACACCAACAGAGATTCAGTTAAAAACATAACAACAAAGAAGGAGAAACTCTGAATTTCATGGGTACTGGATGCTGATTTCTTCATGCATAATAGGTTTGGTTTGTCTATGGATTGCTCTTGGTTTAAATTTAAAATTGCATTTGTTCTATGCCTCAGGATCTCAAACTGAAACTCTGAACATGTTAAGGTCTCTCCGGCCCTGATACTCTGAACATACCAATTTCTGTTTACTGTGATCACTAACCTCATCCAATACATTTATTGGTAAGAGGTACTTGCTCCAATTCTTTTTCCATCTGTTTTGCTGGAAGATCAGAAACACAGTATTTTTTCTGCATAAGTTCCTGTACCATATGAATGCTATGGTAGCTCAGTAGCAGCAAGATCCTCTTTCCTATAAAAAAAGGTGCTCTTCCATGGACTTTCGTTTAAAGACACTACAGAGTTTTGTTGAGATAGATGTATTACTATGCATGTTTTGCAAATGGTTTAACCATTTATTTTGTTTTCTTTCTTTTGGTTTATGAACAATTTACATGAAAGGCAGAGAACACTCATAAAAACCAAAAAGCTTTCCTATTTGTCTCATCTACCTAGACATACCTTCTTATCAGATAAATGTCCTATCAGAAAATGCTCCGATAGTAGTAATCATGTTATATTCCTATAATAAGATAACACCTTGCTATATGCAGGTTGTCAATTTCAGCTAGAAGTGTTTGGTTAAACTTGGTAGGGACAGATTGTAGGGTTTAGTTACATGAACTTGTAGGAATAAGCCAATGAGCTCAGCTGGGAAGTTACAAAATATCAGTATTTGAAGATGGGATACTTATTTCAGGATGTATGATCTTTGTTTTATTGGTAAAGAATGTGCGATCCTCGGTCATATCCATTGTCATTATGCACTTCCGATTTTGCATACACAGTCCATGTTGTTTGGCGTCACTTTAATAATTCAGACCCCATGTTGAATATATTTAACTATAGTTAGGAGTTAATATAAATCTAAAGTCAGGGTTCTGCTTCCGTTAATCACTATTTTGTAACCAATATACATTATCTATAGTTTGCTATCTGTTCTTCCTAAAATTGTAAATAAAATCCAAGGGACAATAAAATCATATTCTGTATGCATATATATTTTTCCTCAGCTGTCACCGCCTGAAAACAAAGAACACAAAGCACAGAGTTGCTGCCGCCGCCTGAAAAGAGAGAACACAAAGCACAGACGAGTTGCTGCCACTCGCTCAGCTTCAGATGAACTCATGATACTACTTGTTCAAAGAGCAAGAGACCGATTTCAGAGATACCAACGAGGATGCCCATTCCTGGATTCTCCTCGTTGCCCAAACACAAAGAAACAGAACTGCCAGGAGCAGTAATCCGGAGCATAATGGCTGGCTGGTCCTGCCGTTGCCCGTCCATCGTAGCAAAACCAGCAAGCAGAAGCAATTTGCAGCTGCTGCATCTCATTGAGTTGGAGTTGGAGAGGAGGAGAAGAGTTCAAACCAATCAATAATTGGTGGATGCAGCTACCATGCCACACTTTGTATCTACCTGTGGCCTTCTGCTACTAGTACTGGCCGATGGTGTATCCATGGATCCATTGACACTTCTACTTCTAGCTCAGCCTAGCCCTGATCTGAACTGCGTCAGTTTTACTCCTCCAGAAGCGTAACGGAAATCAGTGGGGACTACAAAAGAAAGGATGGGAGCAATTGGAGCAAGCGAGCAGGATGTGGATCAGTGGATGTGCAACAGGGTTCAGTTGGGCTAGCTTCTATTCGATACAAACGGACAAGGAGATGAGGTGTCACGCGCTCAGAATAGAATCTTTCTAGGAGGTTCTTCCCCGTTCTACCTCCTCCCTCTCCGTTTGAAACAATTATACCAACAACCTCATCATGCAAAACTAGATCTACAGATCGACATTTAACTAAAAAAACATCTGAGCTCACCCCTAAAAACAGGTCAGCAAGCACCATTGCTCAACTTAGCTACGAATCCACTTCTTACCAGCAATCCAAACCAAAACCACTAACAAAATCAAAGAGGACCAAATCGAATCAGCAGCGACAAGGGATTTTCAAGCAACAAACCTCAACGGAGCGTGCGCCGAACGTAGGTAGGTGCCGATCTCAAGCTATGGCGGAGATGAGCGAGCCGTGGGCAGCATCTTGCGGGCAGCATCTTCAGGCGGGGCGCAGGCAAGGAGCCGAGGCGCGGGCGCGGCATTTGAAGCTGGGGTGCTTGTCGTGGAGCGACGGAATCCGAGGCCGGCTGGGGGCTACGCGCGGCGCACGCTTGTCCGAGTGACCGAGCTGGCGGCGACGGCTTCCGAGTGAGAAGATGGGGAGGGGAGAGAGGGAGATGCCAGCGCGGGCGGCAATGGGCGCTCACGGCGCTGCCGTGGCGTGGGATGGGGGAGGTCCGCGGCGAGCTCGATCGGTGTTAGCGGGTGCAGTCGAGCTCGATCGGACCCAATAAGAACCAAACACAGCCACGGACCCAATACAAAAGCATACGAGCGCACGGATCGCAAGCTCCATCGGAGGCGTCGCCTGAAGACAAGCCCAGAATTCAGGCGACTGAGGAATAGGAAATATGCAAAAAAAATGTAGTTATCCAAATTATCAACTCCCTCAAATAAATGATGTTTTGTTTTCTAAAAAATAATGTTTTTATGTTTATCTTAAGTCAAATCATTTCAAGTTTGATTAAATTTATATTAAAAACACTAATGTTTATAATATCAAATAAGTATTGTAAGATTTATCATGAAATATATTTTCATATTCTACCAATTCGGTGTCATAAGTATTAATGTTCTTTCCTATAAATTTGGTCAGACTTGAAATGGCTTTTGAAAAAAAAAATCGAACAAAAAACTTGAAATGGTTTGACTAAGGACAATCTAAAACATCACTTATTCTGAGATAGAGGGAGTAATAAAATATCATCATCATCATTTGTAAATCGCATTACAAACTTAAATGCTCTTAAGTACACACAAACACTCGCTCATATCAGCATACACACCAACACACCTTATTTATGAGCACCTCAAGAAAAAACCGCCAAATCAAAAGATTGATAAAGTTATTATAAATATCTTGTTGTCGATAGATACGTCAATTATCACTAAAACTATAATGTTAATAAATCACCTGTTATGGTATGGATACTAAAATTGACATATTTGAATGGGGCTCCAACTCTGAAATAAGTGTGGATATGAAAAGATATTCAATATTATGCACATTCGTATAGCATAAAATAAAACACATCTCTAAAACATGTTATATAGTATATATTTTTTATTTAGGTTGAAACGGGTATATATATTGATGTAAATTATTTTTTAAGAACTTTTACTTAAGAAGAAAAATACTTCTATGCACTTCTATTTATTTATTTATTGAAATATTCATTATAACTTTAGATGAACGATCTTTGTACATGTACATTGTTTGTTGATTTCGTTCCCAACAACATTAATAAGTGAACTGATACATCATCCAAACCAAGTAGATATCGGAATGTGGATTCGAATTCAAACTTATTGTCTTGTATTCACATTCAAGAACATCTGAATCCGTATTTAATTCAAATTAAAATATTGAAAAAAATAATGCTACCTGAATTTGCACGATCGGCTTCCACTCTGGTTACCTTAGCATTCACAAACTTAGCTTTGCATGGATGAATGAGATAGTAGTTCTATTGTTTTCATTCTTCTCATTTGATTTTTGAGTTAAGGCCATGGATTATTCAATTCTTGTACTGTACTCCCTCCGTTCCAAATTATAAGTCGCTTTGACTTTTTTGGTTCATCCATTTTGCTATGTATATAGACATATTATAATTTGGAATGGAGGAAGTATATAATTAGAAACTTTGTAATCTTTTTCAGATGAGCAACATTATAATCTAGTGCATGAAGTGTTCAACATAGATTTTTCATGCATTTTTATTTTGACTAATGAGATCAATTTTAAATATTCATTTTTTGGTCTGATTTAAGTCTAAGGATTACTGAGTTTTTGGACTAATTTTGAAAAAAAAAAACAAGATATGGTGCACCGAGCATAAATTTCTCTCTTTTATTTGATTAATATTTTATTTTTATAGAGATTTCTAGTCTAAGACAATGGATATAAATAGGCATTTCCACGTGCAGATATAACCATCAGCAGGAAAAACTTGGCACAAGTTAGCCCTTTCAGAGATTAAAACACCTAAGGCAATGAACAATCTGCTAATACATTTAAGGACAGTGAACAATCTAAAAAAATTACATACAATTCTTCTCCCATGCAACGAAAAGAAGAAGAAAAAGAGAGATACATACAGCTCTATTTCTTCTCACTCCTACCAAACTATATCAACCATGACAAGCTTAAAAATAACCATACATGGCATTTCACAGCAATGCAGAGCCTGGACAGCTTGGCAGAAACAACAGCTGTTGTTAGGCTCTTACACGCAACGCAATCATCATGTCATAAAAAATAGCAGACATGAAATCAGTCCCACGTCGCTTCATGACGTGAACAATTGGCTCCCGAGCGTGACGATGGCGGTTCCGTCGCCCATGAATGTTGTCATGGACATCTCCGTCTCCAGAATCTGGTCTAGTTCGGTCGCGACAAGCCTCATCCTTGGTCGGCGTCTCGATGATGGGTTCAAGCATTGGAAGGCCAGGCCAACAAGCTCCTTCATACCTTCTGCAGTGAAGTTGCCGGCTAATCTTGGGTCAATCAGTTCTTTTGAACTGAAATGCGCTTCCATCTTTCGATCATTCAATGTGACAAGAAAAATGTTTTTTCAGTAGGCAGTTAGTAAAAGAAATATTCTTATGCATGAGAAACTGTGGCACATGTTTCGAATTGTTATTTTCCTCTAAAGTTATGTCTCAACTAAGGTAGAATTAATTGTATCAATTATCAAACATCAACAAAGGACTTTCAGTATTCAATAATACATCCTAATAAGAATTTATGTGATCCTACAACATGACTCATACTTGTCATGCCTAACAATTATGAAAACAGTTTATGTTCTAGCTGTTTTCAAGTTTTGAAAATCTGTGGCCTGACTTCACAGTTAGATACAATAAACAACGCAGTTTCCATTTTGTCAATGCACACAAATAAGACAGTCATAGGCAAAAAGGTGGTAGGAGCTTTTCATAGTTCCTTGACATATTAGAGAATGATATTTTGCTGGAGATTAAGCAGAACTCCATAAGTTTCCTTTCTAGATAACTTACAGCTACATGTCAGTGGAAATTACCCAGTGGGCCAGATATTCTCTGGAATCTGTAGGTATCAAGGAAGCCGCTTCCCTGCCAGTAATTAGCTCCAAAAGGAAAACTCCAAAGCTGTACACATCGCTGCTTTCAGAGAACTGAGTCATCGATTGTACCCTACATATAAGCATGCAGAATGGGTTGCAAATTATTATCACAGGATGAGCAAAGAAAATCATCCACAACTGTAGAGACTTAAGATTCAATAACATTACAAACCATGATACGAAAATATTAAAAATTACCGTTTTCACAGAAAACTCAACTGGACATGTTATTGCAAAGTGACCTACATACTTGTCTGATATAAATGCGATAACTGGACTTACTCTGGGTCTTGGTAAACATTATTACTAAACCCATGCGATGGGCCAGCGTCGTCAGATCCTCTAATTAACCTAACAAGTCCAGCATCAGCCACCTTTGCAATGAAATTTTCATCAACCAGCACATTGTTTGTCTTGAAGTCTTTGTGTATCAAAGGAGGATCAAGACTGTGTAGATGATTCAAACCTGCAACAGCATTTTCACTCACACTAAGTTTTGCTCGAGCCAGTGGCCCACAAGGCCACAAAGAGGGCAAATCTCAAAGTTTTTTTTTACCTTTAGCTGCTCCAATGGCTATTGAGAGCCTTTGTTTGAACTCAAGCCGTGTTGCGGAGCCTTTCCTGGTATCTGGTAGATCGTATGAAGCTTCAGAGGTAATAAAGCAAGAAAGGCTACAATCTTTTTTCCTAACAAGATGTAAACATTACCATACAGATGGCCACATACACTGCCATTGGGCAGGTACTCATACACCAGCATTTGTAGACCCCCTTCTTGACAGTAACCAATGAGAGTTACGATGTTTCGGTGACGAATCTCTGAAAGCCACCTAACCTGCATTTTGCAAGGGTTGACATGATAAGAATCAATTTCTAGGCAAAAACAAATGCATTTATATTACTTGTCCTTGGCTAATTCATGGCATTTATTAGGCTAGAAAGCAACAATGGTTGACAGAGAAAGATCTTCATAGCATCACAACTTATCACTTGGCTAAAAGTGTTCCCTGTCTGCCCTAAATAAGATGCAAATTAACTACAGCCAAGTGCTGAATCCAAATAATACAATGCATCCAGAACTTCCCAGTCAGAACATATAAAATGCCAAAACATGAAAACCGTTAACACTTGACACAGATGCCAAGACAATTGTGGCAAATGCAATTCAGAAACAAAGCAAGTATGACAGTGCAGTCATTCAGCAATTTGTGTTTAATCCCAAAATGCAGAGCAACGCCCCTGGAATCATATTTTGACCTGACATTGTTACCTCATCAGCAAACACCTGAGTTGCTGCCCCCACGCGCCTCTTGATCGCGACAACAGTGCCATCAAGAAGCAGGCCCATGTACACCAATCCGAAGCTCCCCGCGCCGACGATGTTCGCGTCGCTGAAGTTCTTGGTGGCCTGCACCAGGTCCTCGAGCGAGAATTGCCTCGCAACCTGATGCTCCGGCTCCGGTGCCAACGAGCTCCTGCCCCCCTTTCCCCACTCCACTAACGCATTGCGTTAGCAGTTAGCACGGTGAAGGGGGAAACAAAAAAAAAATGATGTACACAAGGAGGAGTTACCCATTCGCAACTCACCTAGCGTTGAGGGGTCGGAGGAGCCGGTGTCGGAGTTGCGGTTACGCCGCGCCCTCCTCCGCACAGCGCACCAGAGCGCGAGCAGCACGGCCGTCGCCGCGAGCAAGGTGGCGCCACCGGCGGCAATGCCGACTACAAGGGCGATCGGCAATGACATCCGGGTGCCCGTGACATCGAATCTGCGAAAGACAAAAAGGGTTAGCTGCAACGCGCTTTTGGGAATGGTGAAGCAACCCCCCAAACAAATATCTGGCATCAAAAGCCATCCTTTTTGAATCCGACTAACCCCCCTTTGACCTACCCCTAAATCAGTGAGTGCTGTGGCCTCCGGCATTCATCAATGCAGGGCAGGGCAGCGCAGCAGTCGTCTCCCAAATCGGCGCCTCAATTCGGCAATGCAGCTACGGACAGGGGCCCAAGACCCACCCAATCTTGTCTTGTTTTGGAGGGGATGGCGAATTGGCGACCGCGATCGATCAACGAGGGGAAGGAGGAGGAGGAGGAGGAGGAAGGGAGCAGCAGCAGGCGAGACCGCGAGAGGGAGGGGATAGATGGAGGCTGTGGTGGTGCGCGGCGACTGCTGGTGCTGGCGCTGGTGTAGGGGGGCAGCCTCCCATTCCCACCCGGCCTCGGGCCTCGGCTCGGCTCCCCCACATGGCAACTGGGGCGCCAAATTGCAGTGCTGCGGCGTTTTGTCAATGCGGCCGCTTGCGCCACGCCATGCTCAGTGCCATTCCCATTCTTGCGCCATGGCCCCTGCGCTGCCCCCCACACCACATCCACCACCCCATGTGTGCGCGCGTGTCGGGGGGCGTGTGCGCCTCAGCGCCGTAGGGGTAGTAGAGGGCCGTGCGGGTTGGAGGGGGAGGGGTTGGTGCTGGTGGGGTGCCGTGCCGCCGCGCCCGTGTTCACCGTCCTCCGCTGCTCTATGTTCTGGCTGCTCGCCATGATCTTTGTATACTGGGTTTCTAGCGTCATTTATAAGTTCACATGTCTACAAAACATGCATACATTTGATCATTCAATTCAGCATATGCTCCGTGTTCGGATTGCATGAGAACGCAAATCGTCGTTTCAATTCTCAATCAGAACTCAAAATATTTTTTTTTGAAGGGGGGGTTGTTCTGGCGTCACGTTTCTGGAACAAGGAAAAGGAGAGAATCTTCTGGCTCCGAGGGAGGTCACCAGGCCAGGCCGTGTCTCTCTCCTTTCGCTTTCGCCGGGACACAACACGCAACACACGACATTTACCACCATCGACAAGGGCCAGGCCGCCAGGGGCTTCCCCCTCTTCCTCGTACACAGCATTTTTTTTTTGAGATTTACACAGCATTAATGTGCTGAATTTATTCTGGTACACTCCCTCCTAGTTATTAGCTACAACTAAAATTATTTGGTTTGTATTTTGATCACTAGCTAATGACTACATACATCTTTAGCATTGGAATGTTAGATTTGTTAGCTGGAGCCCAACTAACATGCTAACAACTAGCCAGAACTTCCTATCAAAAAAACAAAAACTAGCCAGAACTTTGCTAGTTTTTTACTCATCCATTAGTTCTTACTCACTTCGTCTTCGTAAAAACTGTCATTCTCACTTCCTTCGGCTCATAAAAATGCTATTCTTATTTACTGAGGAATTCAATATTTTTTAACTTTGACCAAGTATATATATAAGACAATATTAATATTTATAGTACATATTATTGTTAGATAGATCGTGAATATATTTTCATCATGAACATATTTGGAGATATAAATATTGATAATATTTTTCATAAACCTAGTCAAACTTATAAAAATTTGACCAACATGAATCCCATAGTGATATTTTTTATGAGACGGAGGGAGTATGTTTAGATAACCTAGGAATAAATTTTAATACCTATCAGTTAGTTCTTAGTATCATTTACGCCCCGTATGGATTCTTCGAATTGAATTCATTTTAATAATCATAATTTATACATATATTAATTAAGCTAATATGGTTGTATATGATTATATTTGTATATTTGTCGAGTTCATAAATCTGGGGTCCCCAATGAACCCGCTTCCCTACAAAACTCGGTCTAGCAGGTGGCGCAGCGACAGCATGTGCCTGGGCCGGCCCAGATACAAAATGACAGGCCAAGACCACGATCCGGTCCCCGACCGGCACCTCTGGCCAGGAGATCTGGTCGGAGGTGCGACCGGAAGGCCAGGTCGTGGTGGGACCGTAGTCCGACTTCGACCCCCTTTCTCCGACCGAGAATACGCCCGAACCTCTGCTCGCTGCTCTTTCCCGACCGACACGGTCGGGGCCGACTGGGAACGACCGATCGGGGACGCCCCGCTCGGTGTGTGCCCAGGGAGCAGGCGGAGCAGATAAGGTAAGACGCTCAAGTCAACCGCCATACCGAGGACCATCCCTGCCATGCCCTGCGCACCTACAGGACGATGCCGTCGGGGCATGTTAGGCGAACAAGGTAGAACCTGCCAGACGCGTCAGAGCATAAACAGTATTGCGGGCGCCGTCGTTTGCCGTACCAGACGAACACGGTAGAGCCTGTCAGACGCGTCAAACCATGCTATCATAGAGCAATTGTTAGTGGAACCCTCTCTTGATTTATCTTTGTCCCATGATAATTTGCTTGATGTTTCTTGTGATAAAGATGAATTGGTTGATGATGCTTCAGTTTTACATGTTTTAGAACCAACCATTTGTGCTGAAAATAAACATGTTATTCATATTGCTACTAAAACTAATGAGCTCAAACTGTTGTCTTCTTTACATACTTTGGATTATATTGAATATAATGTTTTGTGTAACCTAGATTGTTTGGAGGAGAGCCTTTTAAAATATATTGATTTGCCTTGGTTTTCTAAACACACATATCATGTTATTGGCAAATATAACAACAAAGGACAATATATGATACATCGAATATATGTTCGTAGTAATATGAATTCTCCTTTTGTTGTACAAGATTATGATCGTTTAGAGGGCAGCCATAATAATACAAACATTTTCTCATGTTTCTCAAAGAAACAAGTTCACTTCCAAGAAGGAGACCATTGTTGGTTGCTACCTATGTCTGCTAGACCATCTATTCCTGCATTGTCTTTGGTTAGTTCTAATCTTTTGCAGGATAGTGTTGACATACATCGTGTGCATTCGGATCATGGAGTCTACATGCTTGCTGAAATTTTTATGCGAGATGACACGCTAGAAACTTGGAAACATGGTCACGTTCCTTCTAACAATTATTTTAGTTCTCTTTGTCTTCGCAACCCCGTTCTCCTTTATGTTGTGCAGGATCAGTTTCATGCACAATCGACGCCGAGGATGGCTTTTCATCAAGAAAGGGAGGATGATAAGGACATGAGCTCCATACATACGACCATGCTTGGAGATAGAGGCCAAGGAGATCAGCGAGGTTGTCCTAACCGAGAAGAAGGCCTGAAGCTCATCCGGTTCGAGTCGCCAAGGTGGAGGCCCAAATCAAGTTCGAGCCCATCTCGGGTTCTAGAACCAGTCTGTCATAAAACTGGTCACATGGGTGCGTACGAGCTCCATTTTTGACAATCCATGTATGGATGGAAAGCTAATTAGATAAGGAAGCTAATGTAACTGGTCTCACATCAAAAGCCCTTCGAAATCAACGGGAATTATCGAAACAAGTCAGCGTCCAGAATCTGCTAGGGTGCTGCGACACCGTCTTTTGGTCCGTTGGACTGTATATCGTGTTTGTGCCCATTAGGGGGCGCGTCTAAGGAGTGACACCCAAGACTCTATAATTAGCAGCCGTCGCTCTCCTTAGGGTTTGGGTTTTATTTAGTTCTTGATTTTCTTGTGAAACAGACGTCGTTTTGCTGTAACTGTGTTGCCATGGTCGCTTGCTGTGAATCAGGGCCCTAGTTCTTGATCTTGTTCGCCTATGGCGATTAGTCCTTTCAAATAAAGACTTGAACTCCTTATTTTCATAAGCCTCATATCTATTTGCAATTTCAGATTGCATTCATCCCGTTCTTGCTTGTGTTCTTGATTCGCTTGCAGGAAAGCCTTCTCGGCGAGGTCAATCGCGTTCGCGTGGTTGATAACCAATGGAGCAGTGGTGTAACGGTTGCGGGGGTCCGAATCAGTCTTGGTTCAAAGCCTAGATCATGAACGTTGAGTCTCCACCAATCGACGCTATCATACCTATCGGAAGATCGGGCCTAGTCTACATCAAGTGGTATTAGAGACCTTATTGCCCGTTAGGTATAATTTTGTTTTTCCCTTTAGATTGTTACTGTTATTGCATTACCTATAGTTCACAAAAAGCCAAAAAAATACACCGCCACATATTCCCTGTCCTATAGCCTCGTTGCGTCATGCAATTTCATCTCTGTTTCGCGTTGTTGAGTTTGTGTCCTAGGGTAAGTTCTGGTTGCTGGTTTTAGATCGTTTTTAGTCCAGTTTGTGTCTTTCCCTTTGTTTTTCATCATAATCCGTGAACACCTTCAAGTCTTGATATGTTTCCTTTGTATCCATCAAACCCTAGTCCACGCTATCTAATTTGTTACACTTGTCTTCACTGTTTGTATCTATCCATAGCCGCCGCAACAACTTTTGCACGCATTGTTCCCGTTTTGTCCTCTAATTCGGAGTCAGTTCTTAAAACTGGTCTAGTTTTCGCATACGAACTTGGATTTCGACGTTCCATATATCAAAATCGATCAGAATTTTTTTTTGGATCCATTCGTCCTTGGCTTTGCTGGGTTCGGAAAATTTTATTTTGGCCAAAACCTGGTCACAAGATCCTCTTTTCGTGGTCACAAGCTTTTTGTCAATTTTGAGCACGTCTTCTGAATTTTCCACAGGCCGCGCCTTTCACTTGTTTAAGCTCATATTTTCTATGGTTACTTCTTTTGTGCTCCTAAGTGAAGAAAAAATATCAAAAAAAAAGAAGAAAGAGTCAAAGAATCCCAAAAAACAACGACAACCCAAAAATAGAGAAAAAAGAGAGACAAAAGTGGAACAATATCTAGAGGGAGCACATAGAGAGCGCCATTTGAGCTGTGTTTGCGTGTGCTGATTTCCGCCTTGTTCCTAATCATATTCCTGCTGTTCACATCACTTGATACATCTGGTACTTGGAACGTGAATAGGCCAGCAACTAAGACAAGTACTCGAGA